TACATCAGTGCAATCTCTCAAATAAATTTAACTATTATGTTTAAGTCCACAAGTCTGCAATGAATATATCAGAATTCAAAATACAGAATTTTAGGCACATTTATTTTCTCCCCAAACAAGCACTGAGAATTGTAACATAGAGTGTAGATTTTCTGCACAACTTTTCTTTCATTTTTACATTTCACTTTAACATATAGGTTTTCAAGTAGGATTTTTAATTTTGAATTCTTTTTAGATAATTTTTTTTGACAATTATAAATTTTGTCCTATATTTTAAATTGAATCATGGATATAAGTCATCCTTAACTGTGACTTAACATCTCCTATGTTTTTTGAATTTGCTCACCTCCTTAAAGTCATACATGTGTCTGCTAAAAATTGGAACTCAAAGATAATATTATCATGAGTTATTTCTAATCATTCCAAGAAGCACACACACACATACGTTTCATTTTATGTAAGCTTTTATGGCCAGGTTCATTGATATGCTGTGGCTGTTTTATGCTCCTCTGGAGTAGAGAAAAGCAGCCAGTGCATACTGGCTGGTTAAGCTAAATTTACAGCTCCTTTGTTAAATAGAAGCAGTGCAAAGCAGTTGGAAGGCACACCCCAGTCTCATTCTGCCTCTTGCTTCTCCCTGACTCTCCTAAACACTCACATTTGTTCCCACTGCATCCTGCATCTTCTATATTCTGCTCTATAGAAGCACATCTCGCCTGTCTTCTGTAAACTCCAAGTATATACCTATACATGTGTGCATGTACAACACAGACCTAAGCCTCTGTCTGCTGCCTCCTTCACTGAGCCCATCTGGTAAAATGCGGAGCTTATGAAAATAATTATTTGAACATTAGTAGTCGACTATTGCTCTTATTTTTTCTATAACTGTTGGCAGAAGAGACTGGATTACATCCTCATAAACTCATGTAGAATTATCCTCTTAGAAAAGAGCTACCATCTTCTATTGCTTTCAAAGAGATAAAAGCAAATTCAACCTGAATAGATGGCAGTAAATGATGAAACAAAACTCTCTGAAGGGAAGGATACATGAAGTCTTGAAAATAATGAACTGTGCTTTGGTTAACAGGGGAAGAGATACTTGCACTTTAGAAAAAAGGACATTATTTCAAGGTTTTTTGTAGACAAGTTGCTTAACTATGGTAAACCTCAAACAAAACTTTTCTGGAAAAATTAAAAGGTACAGTGATTCAATTACTACACTTCCATTCTAGAGAAACTTCTCTCTCCTACATTTTACACTATGTCCTTGCAGTTAGCACAGGCAAATATATTTTCTTAGTAGCAATGGGAAAGAAATGGAAAGGAAAATGTATTCTTTTATACATGAAAGAGCAGTCTTCATCTTCAATCCAGTTACAGACATTAAAATTTCATTTTGTACTAGAGTTAGTTTAAAAATACAATAAAGTCTCTTCATGTAGCACTGAAATTAAAATGGCAAACACAAACCAGCACCATAATTTTTCCTGTTTCACAATAGAGTCCCAAAGGAGCCACTCACTCATCATGCCTTTGAAGTGATTATTCTGTTATGCCTCTAAATCATATTCAAATTTTCTGCATTTTTACACATGAAAGTTGCTTTTCCCTGAAGAAATAGAAATATTTTCTCTTGGACAGTGTGGCGGAAGAGTGAGGTGGGATCTCATTCAGTCCCAACAAGATGTACTTAAAATAGATTAATCTAGCCATTTATGCAGTGTAAAATAAGTAATATTCAGCTCCCTATATGTGTATGTATGTAAATACTTATATTGTTCTACAAATAAATTCTGGCCCATGAACAATATACCTGATATCAACTACATCATCATATATAATACATTATTATAGACAAAACTCTGAGTCAGAAAAAAGCCTCCCTCTCTATTTCTGTGGACATCATTCAGAAGAATGTGAAATTTGACAGTCAATCAAGCAGTAACAAGCTACCTAGTGTCATGGCTGCTGACACTTCAAATATGTGCTTGGTGCAATTCTGGAAAGAAACTAGGGCTCTGCTGGTGAGAAAGTGAAGGTTATATGTACCCCCTAGGGAGCTTTAGATGATTTTAATGCAAATTTCTCAGTTCCTAAGAACTCAAAGGGTTAGGCTTTCAAGGCAGACAGAAAACAGGAAATTTCAGCTTCTTACCATACAGTCTCCACCTATCTGTAAACTTACTCACACCTTGGATATTTTGCAGAGGACCTTCACCAACCATCTCTCCTGACTTTGCTAGGGATTGAAAACTGCATAACCTCTTTGTCTACTGGGGAGTAGGTATGAAGAGAAAATCTCTCCATTTTGTCCCTTGTTTTTGTCTTAAAATTGAGGATGTTCAATATTTTACCCATCCCTTAGATTGGATCTTCGATCTTCCCTGCAAATGTGTCTCTAAAATCAATGTATCTAAAAAGAAAAAAAAACAAAAAAAAACGGGAGGAGGGGAATCAAGCCTATTTTCCTATCTACATAACTCACTGTTTATTTTCCTAAAATCTGACCTGTTGCAGGTCAAAACTCCAAAACAACAGCTGACTTGTGGGGGTATTTCAGCAGCTCTTCTCCTGAAATTCTTGAAGCCTGTACTTTTCTATCTATGGCTAAATGACTGAACTGTGGATCTCTCTTGACTGTCGCTCAATTCTGGCAAAACTGAGAACTCAGGCTACATGACGTTTGAAATTTTGGATAATAGCAGGGCTAGATTCTGTTCCATAGGTTGTCTCTTTACTAGGAGTCATAAATTTAGCTAACATTTAGACCAGATGCACATAAAATAGCTACCTTGTTCTTCTTATGTAAGTTACAGATTTTTCTATTCACCCTTCAAAGTTCCATGCTGTTTGCTTCATTGATCCCCATTCAGATTTGTCATACCAGTCATACCAAATCCATATCAATAATCCCTAGATAGGGCACAATGACTGTGCCCAAGCACAAATGGTCTTAGGGTGTAGGGAAATATTTCCTGTCGATCCTACTGTTTTGGAGAAAAGGAAAACAGTAATAACTATTGTAATCAGTCAACAGCATTATATTAAAAAATACAACCTTCACATTAATTACAACATTAATTGTGAAATTAAATGTATGTATTGAAATTAAATTTTGTACCATCAGCAATTCTTTTAAGGCAGATCTCAACCTTGACTTTGAACTTACCTGCATGAAAATAAATTTTAAATATTAAGTAATAAATTAATTAAAAAATATTTATTATATAAATAAATTAATATATTAAATTAAAAATATTAAAATAAAATTAAAAAATTAAGCATTTATATTAGTGGTATGTCTGCAAATGATTAGCCAGCATGTAGTAGCTTACATGAATTTTATTTTCCTGAATAGTGCTGCTTTACTCAGGAACAGATACTGAAATCCCTTTAAAACTGAAGCAGAGCAATAGGTACAGCAGCAATACTAGCTGCTCCAAACTATTCACTAGCGTGTCTTAAAATAGAACTGCAAAGTACATGTTTGACAAGGCATTATTAAGCCCAGGTATTTGTTGTCAGGATACCAGGGGTGCCAATTATGGTTGCAGTCAGTTACATGAACCTTTTGTTCAATAAGTTGGGACCACCATTCTCCACCGTATCAGATGGCCAGATTACCTATGCCATTACTGGGACAAGTTGGATCCAAACCAAGAATTTTGGGATGATCATACCAGAGGTATTGATAGCAGACACTAATAACAGTGATTTTAACCATCCAGTCCCCTAACTTCAGTAAAAATCTCATCAAAGAATAAGAAAGATCTTGGAAAGAGCTTGAGGAAATACTGAGGAGTACAGACTTTGGAGCCTGCCACTATTTATTTAGACTCTTTTTAAATACAGGCAAATATTGTAAATAATATTGAAACCTTTCCACAGCAACAGTGTGATACTGTGAATGTGTAATGCTGTTTCTGTGTCTAGGGCTTATACTTTGAATTCAGGTGTGTTGTTATCTGATCCTCTGCATATTATTTCATGGACTGCACAGGAATGCTACAGAAAAGATAAAAAATAGGTTTTATATTTTTTGTGATACATTATCAATAGAATATAGTCAAAAGCTATATAAGGTAAATGCACTACTTCAAACTAGAAGTCTTGAAAGTGACTGGAAATACGTTACTTTTCTCATTGCCTTTCTTGCATATCAGTTTCCACTTTTCAAACACGTAGCCTTTGCCCTGTCCTGAAAGATGAGTGCCCACTAAACCCTTCACTAGACTACTTACAATGCAAGAAAATGGCGTAGGTAAGGCAGGACTACTGAAACTCTAAAAGAGTGTGTTTTAAACAGCTTTTATCTCCTCTGGTCCCATAAAAATAAGACTAAAAATTATGATGCATTACCTATGAAAGAATAAAATTTCATTTAGAATAAGCTATTGAAAGTAAAGAGAAATACTTTTATGCATGCAATATTTCCTGTCATTTTTACCGAGACATTTTACAACTAACTTAATTTTCACAATAGAAGATATTTACTTCTAAGTAAATTACACTTTACTGCAATTCATAGAAAAAGCCAGTTGGTCAAATCTGTGTCATCACAATGAGATTTTTAAGTGCATGAAGAATGCTAGATTTGGACCATACTTCATATTGCTTTCTATCATCTTCTTTACTTGCATGTAACTGCAACTGATGTGAGTTTGAACAGTAACGTTCTTCTGCCTGATATAATTGCTTACATTTAAATTCTGTAGGTAGAGAAGTGAACAAGCTCAAAGTCATTTTTCTGGCATGATATAATAATGATAAAATGAGTGACTGATTAAATAGATTTTTTAAAATTATTATTCTGAGTGGATAATCACAACAATTAAATTATCCATTTTTATTATTTACTAAGCTTTTGTATACTTGGACACAGGCATTAAATTAGTTTCACCCTGAGTCATTCTCCTGTCTTGCAAAATTTTATTCACTTTTGTTCATGTGCTTATGTTCTATATCCAGTTTTCAGAACTTTAAAAGAAAGAGATACAAACCTGAATGCTGTGAGATACTCAACATCACCCATAGGAGGATCCAAGCCACCTGTCCAAGCAATATTTATGTTATAACCTTCACCAGGGCCACTTCCAACCTGAAAAATAGGAATAAAATGCCAAAAAGAGTGAAGAGGAGAAAACAGAAGGGGGAAAAGAGAGGGAAAGCAAGGGGGGGTGGGGGGTGGGAGAGAAGAAATATTTCTTGTGTGCTTCAGAAACAAACATCAAACAACATGTCAGATCAGCCCAGCGTTGTTTGACAGGGACTACTCTGGGTTATGCACTTGTTCTCCACTGGTCCCCTGCTCCCAGTAGACAATTTGGTAATCTGGTGTAATTTAAGGAACCAGAGAAGGACAAGAAAATTAGGGGCAATCATGCAATGCAATTACCTGAAAGATACAAATAAAAATGGGGGTCTAAAGAAATAAACCTAACCTCATTTGGGGCTCCACTGCCGGGGAAGAAGTTGCCTTCATCATAGCGATGGAGGGAAACATACAGGATGCTGGGGTCAGCATAAAAAGCCTGCTGTGTACCGTTGCCATGGTGAACATCCTAAAGGAGAAAGAAAACAGATGACAACTGTAATAATGTCCAACTCAGTATAGAGAGCTCACTTCTGCTTTCTTTTACCCCCCTCCCACCCCTGTTTCTCTCCCTCTCCCTTGCCCTCCTTTTGTCTTTCTTTTCCCCCTCCCTTCACCACCCCATACTTCCTGAACTTTCAGGCAAATTACTCTTTAATGCACTCATTTTTTAAACTGGCTTCTAAAAATCAGGAAACCATAGTGAGCATGCCCTGGAGACTCCAGATGAGCAGTCAGTGAGAAATCCCAGTCCTTTTGTACAATTAGATATTTATACACCGGCTCTTTGTACTCCTTGCCTCAGTGATGGAATCTAACATCCTGTTTTATGGAGGAATTTTATGACTTATTAACTGCCAACAGTTCATAACCCCTCAGGCTTAATTAACTAGCCTCATTGGCCTCTGAAGAAAGACTAATGTTTAAACTACAAACTAGTATTTTGCAGAAGGATCAATGGTTTACAGAGCTTTTTCACAATTCTTGACAGAAGACTAAATATAAGTATATTCACTGATTTGCCAGTTTCCACTACTGAGGTCAAAGGCTCTGCGACCAGCTGAGTAAATTGGCTCTCTTGAAACATCCAGTTCAGTTCAGTCCCTCAGCAGTTAGATCCACATCAAAAGAGATGCCAGATGCAGAAAGGACTTCATACTTCATTTTTGCAAAATCATGACGGCAACAGTTGAAGACATAGGAATATGATCTCATTAGCTATTAAATCATCTGGCAGATAGGATGGTGCCTTCCCCAATCAAGGAGTGACCTTGGCCAGTCTCCATATTTCAAACACTGTACAATGCCAGTGAAGAGAAATTCTGTCATTAAATGGAATACTGGAAAAGAAACGCTGACAGTATATCTGCATAACAAAGGCTGATGATGTAGACTTTTTTAGTTTTGTTTTCACAGTTCTACTATTGTACTATGTGGTCAGACATGCAAGAAGCTTTACAAGTGAAAATGGAAAATCCACTTGCCTTTCAGCAAAAGAAAGATGAGTCTTTTTTGTAAGTTTGTCCTCTACATTTGTAAAAAGCTGAAAAATTATGAATATTATTGATTCTCCTCCCTTAAGCCATCCTTTTGAAATTTCTCATATAACAAGAGAATTCAGAAGGAGTACAGAAAAAGTTTCTGGATGGCAACACTATAACTGAGACTGTATTATATGAATGCTAAGAGGTCTGAACCAAATTTAGTATCACAGAAACAATGGTTACATTTTCCTCAGGATATCTAGACTCCAGGAAGGAGTTATGTGTGTGTTGCCAATGGCACAGCAAGCACTGTGCATTGCTTGTGTTCTGTGCCATCTGGTCTAGCCCATGACCTTCAACCACATTGTTCAGGACTCTACATTGATTGAGCCTTACTTGTACAGCATTGTGCTTCACTTGGACCTCCTCTGGGACCTCTGTGGGGTAATATTATAATAGTTACTTTTCTTTCCTCAGTTGAAAGTTCTTGGACCAACATGGGGATGAAGTTACAGCCCAACTGTAACTTAATGCCAGGGTTAAATGTAACATATTTTGGAGGTACAAGGAAGCACACACTGCTATAAGGGTTTTGGAGATTCGAAGGCAGCCAGCATAGTATTATGAGGGCTCTGACTGGCAAAGGAAGTAAAATCTGGAATGCAGACTAACCCCAGAATCACATTCAGTCTTCAAATGTGACAGAATTAATTGGTTTACTCCAGACCCAGATCATGCTAACATGCATGCACATATGGATGATCTTGGAACAAGAATTGTAACAACAATCTTGAGAAGTTCTGCTGGCCATAAAGATAGATCTGCAGAGATTATGGATAAAAACATAGTAGGACTTCATTTTTACTTTAATTAGTCTTGCTTTTCCATGCATGTTTGGGGCTTTAGATATATTTTTATTGTAACTTTTTTCAAATGAGAAGAAAAAAATATTAAATAAGCATAGAAAGAAGATTACAAAAAATACAATTTAAATTTTTATTATTCAAATACATGAATTTCTGTAACTTTCTTGTCTAAACTTTAATTCCACCAAGGATTAATGGGTTTTGAAGAGCAGTAACTTCTCTGGTTAGAAAAAGGAGTGTGTTGTTTAAGACTGCGGATGTTACCACATGAGAAATATGTTCATATTCTTCACTTAGCAGATCGAATGCATTCCAGGTATATAAGTCAGTTCAAAAAAAAGAGATTTATTCAAATGGTGGAATAAAGAAAGAAAAGCTGAAAGAGAGGTCTTTTATTTTAGTGTAGAAATAAATGAAAGAATGATTAAAAATTAAAAAGTTAAAAATTTATGTATGAACACATATAGCCTCTATGAAGGCTTCACTTGATTTGTAACTAGACTACAGTTTTAATGTATGGGACTGAATATTTCTAATATTTACATTGTAGTATCATGTATAGCTGCCAACCTGCATGGGGTCCTGCTGTGGTAGACACTATCAAAATATAGTCTTAAAGGTTAACTTCAAGTCTAACATCTGTAATTCCAATCTTTCCCAAGGACGCTCAAAACTCTGTTGGTGGACATAAAGATGTCACTATTAACTTGTTAATTCATGTCATCTGGACTGCAATTTATCTGTAGTTTGCATACATAAGAAATTTTCCATATGAATTTTTGTACATCATTGTGCTGATCATAGAGCAGACTAGGGACTGGACTGCAACTGCTCCAGGAATGAAGTATTCTGTGTCAGCCATATTTCTCCCTTTTCAACAGCCGAGTTATTCTGGCCAATGGGACAGAGTCAGAGAGAGGTTGGTATTTCCTACTCACTTTCCTAGGTAAGGACAGGCAGTTTCACAGGTAATCATTTGCACAGGTAATGATTTGTACATCTAACTTTTTCTTGAAAAATTGAAGCTGAATTCCCAAGTGCTTATTGGCTAAGCAGGTCAAATACAAAACAAATGTAATGTTTACAATCAAAAGGACTTAGAAACATTCACAAAATATAAAGTTTGAATAGGCCTTTCCTATCAAAAACCAAGAATAAACATGGAGTTCATTTTTGGCCAATATTTACATCAGTAAAACTCAATGAACTCTAAGATTCAAGTCAGCAAACAGATACAACATGCAGTGGAAGTGAAATCTTCAAAAATATTCTTGCAGTTAGAATTATGTTTCTAATTGATAATAGAACATGCTGAGAAATATCTGAAAAACATTTTAAGAATATTTAACCTACCCATATACTTCTTCTACCAGTCATTTTTCACTTGCCACTCCTTCTCCCACACTTCCCCTTTCTCTGCTTCTCTTCAACAGCCAGTACACATGTTTAACTGAACAAAAGTGCTAGATGGTAAGGCCATGACTTCACAATAAGATTTAATTACGAGTGCAGATATGAACAAGATTTAGACTATTAAGCCCTGCACTTCAAAAACCCTTTAACATATTTTGTCTTTAAATCTTTTATCACCTGCAAAAATTAATTAAGTGCAGATGTAACAGGCTAGGTTTTGATGCCAGGGTTCATTTCCTGTCTATGCTTTGTCAGACACCCTATTACACCTCCTCATGAACTGTAGGAAAACAAAAATGGTGCTCATAAATCAGCATTCAACTTTCCTTGGGCTGTGCATTGGGCTGATCCTTTAAGTGCAAGGCAGAACTCCAATTCATTATTCATGAAAATAATATAGACAACATGCCAAATGTCATCTGCATTTAAATAATCCATTTGTTAAACATATAAAGTATTGGGTAAGAATGCCTTCTGTTAAAATACAAGACTAATCCAATGAAGTGGATTTTTAATCACGTAGCTTTCCTTCAGGGAACCATCAAAACCTGGCATACATGACTTGAAAACTTCTTAGAAGGAATGACCTGTTGATTTGTTTAATAATACCAAAGTTACACAACAAGTCGAATCATTGCTAGCTGGGGGAAGTGGCCAATTTGGTTACCAAAACAACAAAATTCTTTAAAGCACATCTGACTATTTAAAGTTTGTATTCTGTAGGGAAAAGTAAACTTGGGTTCTGTAGGGTTATTTTAATGGTGGAAGTATCAATTCATTTAAGGACCATAAAAGTTGCCCTGATCTGTACCTTCTTCTCATTAAATTGCAGTTAACACCATTAAAGTGAAACATAGATGTTTATGGCTTCAGTACTGCCATCCTGGCTTTAATGAGTTCCCAAAAACAGAGGAAATGCACACCTTTGTTACTAGTAGGTATTAAAACCAGGAAAGTCTGACATACAAATACAAATTCATTATCTTTTATCTAGATGCACTGAAAGTGTGATGCTTGCCAAGAATACATACCAGATCTACAATCAATATCTTGCCTACATTTAGCTTGTCTCTCAAGTATTTGGCAGTAATTGCAATCGAATTAAAAAAGCAGAACCCCCTGTGGAATAGAGAAGAACAGAAATAAGAAAGCAAATCAGTCAGGAAAACAGCTATAAATTATGTTCAGAGCATTTTGAAAAATGCTATATGATCTCTGAGGCCATAAATCTGCTTCTGGGAGTACCTAGAAAGCCTTTTCAGTCATCTGCTAACAATTACAGTTCTTCAGAGACATGCACAACACAGGTGATTGCCAGTAACCTTAGTGCTCCAAGATGGGCAATATTCCCTGGTACTTACATGGCTGTTGATTCTTCAGCATGATGGCCTGGGGGCCTTACAACAGCAAAGCCATTCTGTAGGAACAAGATAGGTTTTCAATTATCATCTTAAAAAAGTACTTGACTCAGTGCAAAACAGAGCAGCAGGCAGACTGGATTGAAATCTATTAGAGGCTCTTGAGCACTTTTTCTGTCCAATCGCCCTTTCATAGTACTGCCAGAAATAATATATTTGAGAACAGTGGCACATAAACTTATACAAATATACACATGCTTATATTTACATACACATGCAACATGATCTAAAGAGGAGGAAAAAGGCAGGATGAGACAGCAGTTGTTATCAATTCTGCTGTCTACAATTCACATTTAAAAGAAAGCCGAATCCACTGATGATACACTCTTGATCTAAGTTCATGTAATCTTACATTGCTCTAGCTTGAGATGTTTCAACATAAAAATGGCTTGAGGTATATATTTTACATGATTGGTCAGTGTTGACCCTACCTTCTCTATGGATTAAATGACAAATTCACACACGTGTAATTCCCAGCAGCAGAAAAAGGGTGTCAATGATTATCCCATGTTTCTCCAAACCATAAATTAAACTTGGGAACCTGCCAAGATCGCAAATTTAATAGATTCCCTAAAGTCAATTTCTAACACACTTTCTGGAATTGTATATAAATTTAATGAAATGCAACTCTAGGATCAGTGATGATCAAGGTATTTTTTGCCTCTAGTGTCACTGAAGGTAAAAGAAAAATTAAATTTTCCTCCTTTCAGTGTGGGTAAGGTAAAGGGAAAATGTAGAAGTACTGGCAAGGTAGCTCTGTTCAGAAAATCAGATTATTTATTCAACCAGCAGTGTCACATAAGAGTGTGTATCATACCAAATTTCTTTTACAACAGTCATATTCAGAAGTAACACCATTACTTCAACAAATTTACTCTTTAGTTCAACTATTCAAGACAGTTAGTCTCTTCTATTCAGCTATTTATTTTCTTCTATCTGACATCAAATTAATGCAAATCAATATATACATAAAAATAAGTAATTATAATCTGTGCATCAGTACATCATCAGACTTGCATTTTCAAGCAGCCTCATAGAAACAACATTTGGCTGCAAGACCAACCAAGCATGTGATTTTCAGAGAGGAGTGGAGAGAAATGAAAAGGATGGAGAATTTATATATTTAAATAATCAGTATTACAGTAGTCCAGTTTGATATACTTAAACTAGGCAAATGTCAATATTTCAGCTTTTACTTATCTGAAACAAACATGATAATCACTACACTTTCATGCAAATAAGGAGCAAGATAATAAAAAATGTAAATAAGGTGGTTAATAGATTTACGATAGTGACTGTGAAATGTTTATTTACAGTCTTATGAATGTGTGTTTGTGTGTACCTGTGCAACTGTCTACCTATGTTGTTTCACTGGCATTAATTTTATTAATTAATTATGAAATACTACCAGGTTATCTCATATAGTTTGCTGCTAAGTGGAATCCAAGCAGCCAGCTGCATTTTTGTGGAGTGTGGCCAAACCTATATCAGACTATGGCAAACTTATACTATAACGCAAATGAAGTACATCTGTAAGGGTGATTCTTCCAGCCACCATTTAAAGAATCAGGGGGATTTGACACATGCTTTATTTTTCATTAACTATTCATATTAAAAAAAAAAACAACAAAACAAATCCATACAAACAAACAAGCAAAGAAAAAAATCCCAAACAAAATCAACCAACCAAAAAGAAAAACCAAACCCAAAACAAATCAAACAAAAAAGACTAGAGTCAGAGCAAATATATATGTCCATATTTAGGCAGGCATTCCTGGAGGTGGACTATAAATTGCCTATAGACCAAACTCACCATCAAAAAAAAAACCAAAAAAAACCTTGTGGACCTCACTAATCTGCAGAAGCAAACCAGCTTTACACTCTAAGCTAACCCCCTGTCCTTATCCTTCTGAGGACTTTTAACCTTTCCTTTTCACACAAAACATGACTTAGAGAAGAATTCTGTGAAGAATTCTTTTGTAGTGTCTATGAGAAACAAAGTATGTGTCTGCTGAGGAATCTGTAGATAACGAAGTGAAAACAGACTTAGAGAAGAGGGTATTACTAGAGGCAAAGCATCATGCTACCTTTATTTTGTTCTCTTGATATTTGTAAGGATTTGGAAAAAGTCCATGCAAGGCTTACAACTGCCCCTGCTCAGCTCCCAGATCATTATCATCTAACTTTATCAGCATTCCCAAATGATCAAAATAATAAGATGATTATATCTGGGAGTATTTTTTTTCAGCAATACAGAGACAGAAAAAATCAACACTGCTGCTTTTGACAACATGACAGTTACAGTATAGGCTTCTCTTTTCTGTTCCCTTTGACACAACTGGAAGGCCTGCTTTCTTATAGCTAGCTAGTTTCTGTTATCAGAGCTTAAGTTGACTGCTACAGTTCTTCATAAGCATGGACATTTGCATCAGTGTTGTGACCATTTTATATGTGCTTTTACATTAGAAGGAGTTCAGTATTCACATAGGAAATTTATTTTTTTTTAAATATAGTGCATATGTTATATTGATGATAAAGCATATAATATAATCAAATTTTACTAAGCACTGAAAACTAGTTACTATATAGTATTAACAGCAACCTTCCAATTGATAGAACATTTTATTTATTCTACTTTTAAACTTTCTATGAACACACTGTACATTAATAGAACGGAACATTAATTTATTTAGGCAATATTTAAATACCAGACAGTGAGCTCAGAACAGTAGACAGAAAGGCAAAAATCTGCTTTAAAGATAGACTAACAAAGAGCACTATGTTTTAAATGAAGCCAACACACATAAATTCAAAGCTTTTTATACAGAACCTTATTTATACTAGGGTACAGACACCTTTATATGTAGACAGAGCATTAAACTGTCTGACAGACATGAACATTAGGAAAAGGATTCATGCCTGTGCCATTATATGATTACCTTTAGTTAAAATTGAGGTTAAAGAGTAAAGCCTGAATATAGATATTCTAAAACCTGCACATATTTGAACAACAAAGAGACGTACTCTTTTTCCACAGTAAGGTAAGTATTCTCTTCTTTCATAACTCCAAATAGGTAGTTAGATGCCTGATTTCCAAAGAACACAGGTGTACATCCTACTGTGGTCTTCTTGTCTTTGGTGGTTCAGTTGATTCCTTTCTGTAGCATGCTGGGTTACAGTGTCGGGCTACAACATGCTTGGGCTTCTACTATATCTGCCTCTGAACCTCTTCAAGACAAGCTCTCAAAACAATATCACAACACAGGAGGTTACTCCAGGCCTTGGGACTAACCATCCCTAGTAGGGTTCCACTGGTGTTTTTATTATACAAGGGGGTAAAACTAGACCTAGACAGTTTTTCCCTAGAGCAGTATGTGGTGAATGTAGCAAGGTGTCATGCAGCTCTTCCCTTTGCTTGACAGTGAATAGCTTGCTCTGCCTAGGTTCCAAGTGGACTAAAAGCAATCCAGTCAGTCTCACACTTGAGGTTTCTGTTGACTCCAAGAAAAGCCAGTGTCATGCAAGAAATAGGAGTAAACCCCAGCAGGCACTCCAAAAGCATTTACTGAAGCAGTAGAATTTTCAGATTCAACTCCTTCTTGAATGTAGAGATGAATTTCTAAATATTCTTTGCATACTTGTGTATTTAGGTTATGCGGTCCATAAAGTAGACATTAAGACACATCTTTAAGTGAGTTTTTAACAATAGGTCTAGAGTCACGTTCTTCCTCAGTTCTTATTCAAACTTATGGAGCTTTAATTATTTCCTGCAGTAGCAGCAACTTCCTCCTAAAGCCAGGTGTTAAAGACTATTTTCTGCATGTTTAAATCCCTTAACCTATCTAGCTCTTAGCTCTTAAAATTAGAAGTGTTTAAAAATGGCATTCTTGGACATTCACTTGTTTTAAATGGAAAAGTTTTATTTTTGCTTCAGTGTGCACAGGCTTCTTTTCAGAAGAGAAGCCAATCACTGAAGCTAATATTTCATTTCTTTGTAGAAACATCTTTAGTTATACAGAAATATATCCATTGCTCCTGTCAGAATTGACATTCCTTATGTTTTATACATATACAAGTTTTTATTCTCACAAAGCTATAAAGTTATATACAAACCTATTTCATTAAATTTAAGAGGTGCTCCATACAGTGTATCTGACAAGGTGCAACACTGAAGTGATTTTAGTGGCATCCTTAACCATGCTATCTGTGGCTTAGTTAATTCCTACAATAACAAACATCCATCAGGCTGCTTTATGTTTCATCTGCTTATGACAATCTTCTTGCAACTGGTACCCTGAAGCAGATAACCATATTCCTGCCAGTGTCACTCATGCTGTAATGCGATGGCAAGTTATGCCATCCAGCAGGGAGGGTAAGCATAAGGGTGAGTGGTGTAAGGACAAGACAATCCCCAGGTACCAGTTTGGGACAGTTTTACAACCTATTCATACAGCCAGAGCAGGAACCAGTATCCGGCCCTGTGGGGTCTGCGAATGCAGTGAACAAGAGCCCATGATTTAACAGAGCAGTATTAGCAGCCATAGATTTACCAAGAAAACAGTAACGAACCGGAGGGAATACCATTTTATCTTTCAGAGGAAGCTAGTAGGGGCCAAGAACACAGAAATGGACATTAAACGTTTAACTCTGTGATGGCAACAAAGTTCCCTGTCTGATTCACTGAAGGTTTAAAAGGATGGCCCCAGAAAATAGACATGAAAAGCTGGTGGTTGCAAGCTAACTTATATACAACCAAGATGACCTGCTTAGCCACAACTAGTGTTAACTATATCGGGAAAGAAAGAAAACAGTTTTAAGAACAGAGTGGTCATGGAGATAAGCTATGTACCACACATGTAATTAAAGTTGTACTACTATATGAAATAATAACAGTCATTCAGCTATAAATATAACCATAATTGCTGGGATAAAGTATCTAAGAAATGGTTCCATATGACATATTGTAATTTTGTAACTTTGTAAAAGCAAAGAGTACAAA